TGTAGGGTCACCCAGGGAGATGAGCAGACCAACCTGGCTGCCGAGACAGAGCTGGGATGGGGGGACAAGGGGGCAGGGCTGGGTGTTCCCATCTGTCCTCCCTCAGGGCTCCCCAACCCTTCACCAGAGTCCTGGGCACACACTGTTTGCTGTATAAGGGGTTCCTGTCTAACAAATAAAGGGCTCAAACAAGGTGATTCCAAAGGTCAGGGCTGGTTTTAACTGTTTGCAATTCCCTGACACCAGGTTTTCAAATTCTCAGGCCCTGGCCACAAAACAGTGGTCCTGCCCCTCACTGACCCCCTGCCCAGACCTCTAGGCCTGCCCCTCCCACCTCACCCACGGCTGAAATCAGAGACAATACAGAGTCTTCCTGTGCACAGGTCCCGTTTATTGTAGAAAATAATAATAATAACAGCAATGAATAGATCTTCTTATATTACAAAACAGAAACCACATAGAAGACAGGGAAAAACCCCAGGACTTCCTGGAGTGAGGCTGTCCCCCGCTCCCCAGTCTAGCCAGTGTCCTTGGCAGGGTTGGAGGATTCAGAGGGAGCCAGGGGTCCTTTTGTTGAAGTGGGTGAGACAGAAAGTCCTGTGGCAGCAGAGCAGGGGCAGGAAGGCACGGGGACAGCTGAACTGCCTCTCTGGCCCCCTCCTCCACTACCACCCAAACCAGTTTGTATCACCTTCACCCCTCCCCTCCAAACCTGTCTGTCCACTCTGCTCCATGAGCAGGTGGGTGGGTGGGCGAGTCCCGAGACATCCTCATGGCCACAGGTTTCCATGGACAAGGCACAACCCAAGGGCAAGTCACTGGCCCACCCAAGTCACCTGCCATCACACCAAGGCCTAGGCAGAGCCAGGAGTGCCTGAGAACAAGGGGAGACAGTGGCAAGAGAAGAGCTGGAGCCCCAGAAGAGGTGGGCAGAGGGAGTGGGGAGGATCAAAAAAAGGACAGTGGCCAACAGTGGTGTGGGCTGGGCACCTACTCAGAGGCCAAAGCCAACGTCAGGGCTGAGCTGTCCTGGCCAGCAGGAGCCACTCCACCACCACACCCTGCTGCTTCCNAGTGGGCAGAAGGGGCTGAGGGCTTGCCCAGCCCCCAGCAGCCCACGGTGGAGCTGTCCTGGGGTCACAGGCAGCGCCGAGCTCAGTCCAGGGAAAGACAAAGACAAAAGGGACAGAGTGGAGCGGCAGCGCCTTACACATAGTTGCTGGCTGCAGCAGAGCGGGCAGCAGAATACTTGGCCGAGTAGGGCTTGTCGGTGCGGGGTGGGCAGTTGCAGCACAGCAGGCCCCCGCCAAGCAGCAGCAGGCCTGAGGCGGCCCAGCCGACGTAGAGGGAGGCACCCATCTCGCGCTTCTGCCCAGAAGCCACCAGCGGGTTGTAGAAGTCGCGGATGATGGTGTTGGCCGTCCAGGACACGGGCACCAACACCAGCAGGCCAGCCAGCAGGAACACCACACCCGCCACGATCATGGTCTTGGCCTTGGCAGTCTCGTCCTCCACGCAGTTGGTGCATTTGCCCCCCACCACGGACAGCAGCACGCCCAGCGCGGCCACGATGATGCAGATGACGATGAGGGCGCGGGCCGCCTGCAGGTCCTGTGGCAGCGCCA